TAGCCCTTTTTACATTGTATAGCGTATTTTAGGAAGTAACGTTAGCAATTTAGTGACCGTGTTTGCTTCAGGATTTTAGTGTAACTAGGTGGTGAAAGGTTGTATTCATTCTAAGCTCGGTACCGGCAATACAGTTAAGACTAGTGATCTTTACATTGGGGAGTTAAAGCAACGACGACGACGACAGTGAGGCGGAAAATGTCTCTTGAAAAGTGAATTCACGCTGTTTCAAAATTCATCGGTCTTACTCCATATCTTGCAAGTATATTTGTCAAGTGTTGGTGAATTTTTATGGGGTTGAATTTTAAAGGACTGCATCTAAGTTAACATAAAGAATCAGAAAATCGTTGTCTTTTTGTGAGACCTGTTCACGTCGTTGTCGTGCAACCACGGCAAAGAAATGTACAAAAAAAAGACTGATGCATGTGCCAAGTATTGTTTTGCTAATCTAACGCAGTGTTCACATTATACTGGATGGCGTTTGCACCGACACGAAAACCATTTCGGATAGCGCTTCTGTTCACACTTAAGAACGGTGATTTCGGCGCGATTTCTGTAAAGGCGCGAAGCTGCGCGGCGCCGATCTCTAAAGTGAAGAGTCCCATATCGCGGGACAGGTGTTCACACGATGCTGGATGAACGAATATCTATCTGGTATAATGTGAACATAGCCTATAATCCTATTGCTTTTTTGCCGTTCTCGTTGCTGTCGTCTTCGTCGTTGCTCAGGTTAACTGGAGCTAGAAACAAGTAGTACCCCTTTTACTGCCAAGGTGTTTGATGGAGTTTTGTAAGGTGACTCTAACTTTTGAGTCTGCGGACGAAATCCTATGATGTGACCATTCAAATGAAAGCTCTCTGCCTGTACTTACACATGGTGTTATTTGTTTTTCAAAATTTCACAAAATGAAATTTGGAAATCTCGTCGACTTTCCCTTTGGCTTCATTTGGCAGTGAAAGGGGTACGGTGTCCACAATGATGTATGAGATCTTCCGATGCTCTTAAATAGAAGTCTCAGTAAAGACATTTGTGGCAGGTTTTATGTATTTTAGTCAATAGTTAGCGTAAAAAACCACCTAGTGTGTTAATGTAAATAAAAGCTTTATACTGTGCGACTCGTTTTGCTTATTCTATTGCACTTTTTTCCTTTCCTTTCACCTCTGTTCACAAGTTGAATTGCTATGTTTTCTTACACCGAATATGTTTTTTTCGTTACTTTTTTTATTACACTGAAAACTACCCAGTGGTTTCTGATTGTTTAGGGATACTTTCTTTTAGCGGAGCTCCACGAGCGTAGCCCCATACCTAAGAAAATGTGGTAATCTACCCATCCGAGAAATTTTGGTAATCACGTGACCGTGCGTCCGACCGCACGTTCTCCGCACCACAGGCATACCAAAGTAAAATAAATCAACAGGTATGGCAACCCAAACGCAACTCGAGGTTATTTGGGCGGGAAATCGCATAGCCGCCTCCATCTTGTGAAGCAGAGAACTAAAGAGTCAATAAAGACGAAAACTGGGGGTGGAAATTGTTTCTGTATCCGTGTTGTCTAAAGTATTAAGCTTAAATTAATTGTCATGTCCACAAATTTGGAATTTAGAGAAAGAGAAAGACAAGGAACAAGAGAAAGTAGGCGACAGGCTAGCGGAGCTCAACGAGAAAAAGAGCGACAGAGAGCTAGAGCACAAGATAAAAAACAAAGGAGACATTTTTCGCTGCAAGAACAACATGAAAATTTTGTAGCGGCGGAGTGAAAATGAGAATTGCTAGCGGCTATCAAGGTGAAAATGAGCGGCAGTGAAAAAGAAGTAAACAAGAACACCTACGACATTCCCTCCATAAAACGTGTAACTAGGAAGTTTCTGGAAGCATCACGATGCAGTCGTGCAAAACAACGGCCAAGAAATGTACAAAAAAGTGTGCTGCATGTGCAAAGTTGCTTTTTCAGCGTTCTCATTGCCCTCACCGCTTAGCATCACACGATTTTAAATTGTGTTTCAGCAGACTATAAATTAATACTGTCAGCAGCTTCGCATTTAGCGCTGACTAAGTCAATATATTATCGGGAAATATTACACATACTCTTTCTTAAAATTTCGGCCGACTTGACCGGTTACCCTTAGAGAGAAAATAGCATGACATAGATTTTTTTAGATACATTTTGAAAGGGTTAATGAGGGTATGCCTCGGAAAAAATATATCTGTATTTTACTCCACATGGAGGCTTATGATCGCTTATGCCAAATGTTACAAAAACTTGCTGTTATTTTAGTACGTAGCCTGCATAGCTATTTTACATTATTGAATTTTTCCTTTTGTGGTTCGTTAAGTAAGAGAGAAAGCCGCGCGAAAGCTGAACCGAGCTCAAACTAAAAACCCTCCATGTTACTCTTCCCTTCTATACTCTCAACAGGCCATTTCCGAGTTCAAAACACTCTCACCTTCATTTGGGTGTAAGTGCCTAAAACTTTCTCTAGAAAATGAGTTATATTTGCATGAGACAAAAAATTATTTTTCTCTTAAAGGCTTTGCACCTAGCCTCCCTTTGAAACAGAGACACGTTATACTATTAAAACAGAACTATTAAAGACTCAAATTCTTGTGAGGGTTCAAGTTTTGGCTTTATTCACTATTTTTTTAATCACCCAACAGTCCAATCTGTTCAAATCTGTGTCCACTGACGAACTACACTGTAGATGCCTTTTGTACAAAAATTAACGATAACTGAACATGTATAATTATTTGGGCAAGTTTCCTGGATGATTGTCTTTAGCACAGGCATTGGTTTTTATGCAAATCACAAATACCTCAAGGGATATTTAACAGGGATATCATCAAGGGCTGGGGATTTCCCCTAGTTACTATGATGTGACCCTGAACCAAAAGAGACCCCTAGCTACAGTGAAAACTCTTCTCACAGACACTTGCACAAGCAGACAGCTCTACTTATGGCCACCTTCACAAAACCTCATTTTTCTCAACTCCCATACAAATGCTGTATTTTTTACATTATTTCCCCTATGTGGACAGCTCCAGTTACAAGCACCCTTTGGTATCTCGAGGTAACCTGCTTATAAGAGCCGTTCCACTTTATTTGGTTTCCCTTACTTGAAGACTTAGTGACATCCCCAAATCTTATCACACTCTCGAGTACGTTTAAGAAAAGTCATGCGAGAGTCTTAGTTGAAACTCAGTCATAGATGTATATTTTGGGGCTGTGCTCTAGAATGCCTAGGGCCTCTAAGGAGTTGCTTTTTGCTTAAATAATACTAGATGTATACCAGGCATTTGAACTTTAAACAACTTTAATCAGAGCACAGCCCTGTAATTAAGAAACAACTAACAATGACTCATTGCATTGTTTTTATCTTTTTTAGTTGTCAAGATAAACATTTCATTGCATTGTTTTATCTTCTTTGTTATTGTTCAAGATAAAATAAAAGTTAGACAAAAATGGGGGTAGGCCTGACAACTGCACTTGGCTGATAAACTTTAGCTCACCTTGTAACAGCTCTTAGCTGTATGTATCTCACCATCTCTCTTTACACTACTTATCTTTAATCAAGCGGGGAGACACATAACAGCCTCTATGGGGAGGCCCCGCCCAAAGTGGGTACCTTTAAAGGATTCAGGTATAGGAAAGGGTAAGGAAATTTGTCACTTAAGTTTAACAAAGCCTTTAACAGAAGCCTGTCTTTAATTAAAATTTTTCAAACAGATGCACTTCACTCACACTACATGAAAATGACAAGCTGTAGACCTCTACAGGTATGTGTGAGGTGTACCAATAAATTTTTTTTCAATGGGAGTATTTGTGTTCTGTCAAAAATGGTATAATTTTATAAAAGAGTAAGGGATTAGACGTTGGGGCAGAGCCTTCCCATGTAAAAAATGTTGCTGAGTAGCACCCACTGGTTCTAGAATCCTAAAGTCATGGAGCTTGCTTGATTAAGACATTCCTCCAAGTTCACTAATCAAGATAATCATCAAAAGACCCCTTTCGGCCTTTCCCTTCTAAAAACTCTTTAGCGCCTTTAATAGAATCTTTAATTGTCTGGACTTTAACACCCTTAGAGTGCTCGTATGACAGTGCATCGTAAAACGACTCTGCATTGAACACAGAGTAATAAACAGACTTGCGCTCAGTAATCAGCGACTCTTGTGGGAAACGTGCGATGAGTTTCGCAAGTTTAATGGCCTCATCTAGAGCCTTTCCATTAGGGACTACTCGGTTGACCAGACCCATACTGTAGGCTTCTTGAGCACTCACAGGCCGCCCAGTCATGATGAGGTCCAAAGCACGTGACAGGCCAACAATGTATGGTAACCTGGCAGTTCCTCCATCCAGGAGTGGGACACCTGAAGTTGTATAGAACTAATTTTATTGTTTGTAGAACTAAGGGTCCTTTTGGAAAATTTAGTTGTCCCCATATGTTATTACCTAGTAGATAATCGTTTTGGTGATTGATAATAGGGAACACTAAAATAATAAAATATATGTGGGAACAGTACTTCAAAAAACTAATGAGGTAAAATTTGATACCCTTTCTACATGTGTTCCTAAAATCCATTTATCCTGGAACTTAATTTCTGTTGTTCTTTGTAGTAAAAAGGCAATTTTTTTCCCAAAACATTTAGTTTAAAAACTGTTTAATTTTTTGTTACCGTTTTGTTGCTAGGCTCGATTACCAGCCACTGTTCGGGAAAATGAGCCCGCACTCATCCCCCTGAAGGAATTTAAATTACATCACAGACAAGGTCAACGGGTCACGCGTCCAGCCGTCTCTCTTCAGGGAGGATCAAGACTGGACCCAGGAGACGGCGGAAATCGAGCCTATTTTGTTGCCCCATTTATGAAAACACTGCCTTGTTGCACACATTTCCTTACGGCACAATTTTCCAGTCAAATTATGAATTAAGACTCATAGAATTTTGTATCCTGCATTTTTGCAACATTAAGTGCCAGCAAAAATAAGTAGCAATGAGGTATAAATTTACTGCCATGCAAGATGATAATGGTAATGATCATAACAGTGATTTATTTTCTCAGAATAAGAAACTTTGCTTTTTTAGCAACATTTTATATAAAAAGTATATTACCAAATCTCCTGTTAAATATTCCCATGACAGTATTTTCTGCTGCCACTCTGAGATCACAAATCAAAGCCAGCTCCATTCCACCAGCGACTGCATGCCCCTCTATTGCCCCAATAACTGGCTTGCTCAGTTTCAGTCGGGAAGGGCCCTTAAAACATGGAGAGAGAGAGATTATTAAACATGGAGGGACCATGGATGGAGAAGGGGGAAGTGGGTTTGCTTAATGAGTAAAGAGGAAACAAGGATGGAGTTTCTGGGGAAAAACTCTGACACGAAAGGAATGATAATGTTAACGTAGGTTGCATCTGTTGAACAGAGATAAGGAGAAAACTTTTCTTTTTAAAGTTTCATCCCAGAATTTCTGAAGTCTTTAATAACTGCCAGGAATTCTGAAGGGTTTGATGAAAAAATGGAAAATCCGAATGGGAGGGGGGTTTAATGATATAATTATGGAATTCGGAGGGCATGGCGGGATAACCCATTTTGGAAATTCTGAGGGCAAGGGGGGGAAAGAAGGGGTCTAAATATGGAATAAACATTAAAATCCCTGCACATTGAGTTACTTTTTTTAATTTAAAAATTGCCAAATCGATCCTTTGAACAGCGTCGACTTTGCAATTTTTAAATTAACACTAAAATATAGAAGCCGTCCATGGTATGGTGAGGATATTTTCTGGGATCGCCCTTTTGAACGTCACGTTTCCTAGAGCTCTGCAAACTCAGCAAAATTTCTTAAAGTTGGGTAATTCCACTGATCTGGAAAATTTTCCATTGGAATTGCCCAACACACTATGTTCTGTTTACTTTCCAAACTGGAATCTCTAGATCTATTTTGGAGGTAACTGACCACCAGTTTTGGATTTTCCTGCATTTCATAACAAAAAATAATCAATTTCCCGCTGAGAATGTAGTAAGCATCCGTTCACCAACCAATGCCACATGCACGCTTCATGAACATGATGAATCAACGATCAAAACAACTGTACAGCATGCATGTTTCTCTTTTCACCGGAAATAAGCCAATAAAAGTCACATCCTGCTCACGAAAAAAGCGATTCACGACACGCGCGCGTGTCGTGCACGTGCGTTGGGTTATCAAAACACAACTGTACATGGGACTTGACGTGCAAAAAAGCACGATGGCCCATCAACGGGTAAACATATGCAATTGCAACGATAAACAGAATTGTGGGCGAAGGAAAAAGCAGTAAAAAAACGTACAAAAACTTTAATCCCATAACTCTTCTGAAAGTCAAACGTTAATGCTCTGCAAGCTTGTTTTGAATTCTCTGAAAATGCTTGAACTTTTTGCGAAACTTTACTTACCATCGGTGCATCACCTTCTCCGACCGGAGGCACTGATTTTAAGAATTTTTCCGGATCCCTCTCTGACAATTCTTGAAGGTCATAACCAGCGCAAAATGAGCCACCTTTACCGAAGAAGACGGCCACCGAACATTCATCGTGATTCTCAAAAGCGCGAAACGCTTCTGAAAGTTGTTTAGCAGTCTCTGCGTTCACCGCATTTCGCTTCTCGGGACGAGCTATCGACACAAAAAAGATCTTGCCATCTTCTTCAGTCTCGACAAGAGTGCTTTCGAATCTCCTTGCAGAGCTCAAAGCAAGTGGAATCTTCAAAGCTTGGAGCCTGGCCTGCCGAGATAACAATGAGAGCGCCATTTTCCATCGAAACACAACACCTCTCTCTCCACACACCTACTTCAAGTGTGGCCCTTTTTCGGTAGTGGTAACCTGGGACGAGCTGAGTTTCTAGAGCAACTGTTGGCCAATCACAGCGTTCGAATTTGAGTCTTCGAGAAAACATGGCGGCGTGTACATTGCAGCGCGCCAATTTACTTCAAACACAAAATCTACGCTCATAAAAAAGTTTACTGCCTCGTTAATGAATGTGGTTACGATGGCGAAATGACAAGTGCTAAAGACGAAATATCTGAGAGTTCGTCTTCGGACGAGGACGAAGAATCTTTGAGAGAACTGGTACGTTGTAGTTATCAGCATTTGTATAGTAACTTCCAATTTTTAGCAGTTTCACAGTGATCGATTGTGGTTTGATCTCTGTTCGCTTATTGTTCTCAACTTTTTTAGGTTTTTTTCTTATTTGGGGGTTTCTTTTCATAAATAGCGCTTTGTTTTCGGTTGTTGAAAGATCAGTCTGCGGGGATCTGATTGAATTCATTACATTGAACATTAATTTTTAAAAAGCTTGAGATTACTTTGGTCAACATCGAGTTTACGTGATCATTAATTAATGAAAGCCCATTTATTTTAGAGTTTTCGTAGTTGAGTAAATTTTGATGTGTTTTTCTATTGCACTGTTTTGAATGGATTTATGTCTTGAAGTTTTCAGCGTGAAAACTGTCAGAGGAGTGTGCCGGGGGGTGCAGCCAAGCAAGGGCTGCGCGGCAAATAGTGTTTGATTAAGATTCTTGGGGCGAGAGTATGCAAGGCACATAGTTGCACCTACAATCAGGGACAAAAGTAGTTGACACACTTGTTTGAAACGAGTGCTTTTAACAAACATTTAATTCATTTATTATTTCATTCCTTTTAAACGCCGTAAATCCCCCGACCCCCCGAATCAATGTTGTCTGAAGTAAAAAAAAGACTTGAGAGTCCAAAATTCAACATTGATTTTGGGGGGAAGGGGTTGGGGTAGAACAGGGAAGGGGATAAGTATATTCACTATGCAAAAAGGGGCCATTTTACGGAAGTGTGTCAACACTTTTGTCCCTCATTGTCTGAATGCAAAATTGTGCTACTGCACACAAGTTGAGCCGTGCATGACACTGATTTTAACTGAAATTAAAGGAATCAATGACATAATTATGTTATTGGTGCTGGGGGTGACATTGACTTATTCACGACCGAATTATAGGGCCAATTCGAATTACGCGACGACGTAATAAAAGGGCTGCGATATCCAGAATTAACGTCGATATGGTTTACAAGCTAAAAACTGACGCTGAAACTCGCGCACACGTACAACTTTTGATGAATTTCAAGGGGGTGCGTACTGAAAATATTTTTATAAAGTGAATATTTCTCGTTCTTCACTTTATCCGATTGTTAAGGCCCAAACAATCACGGATAGGGTAAGGATTGACACGTAGTGGGGATAGTCACTGGCCGGCCACGGAAATATAGAGCGTTAGTGAGGAGCGGCCGTCACTGCGTTCAATATGGAAACTACGGAAAAGTGAAGGTAAATTCATAGCTAATTCAATAAAAAACTAAGGACAGCGTAGCAACCATTGCAAGTGTACACGAAAACAATTACTTTTAATCCCACCTCGTGACATCCTGTGTGACATGGTAACGCAACGCAAATAGCGTGACATAAGCGCATATGTCTGTGTATATCGACTGCATTTCTCAAGCGAAACCCTGTGTTTTTGTCTATTGTCGGCAGAGAAAATGAAAAAGAGAGCTTTGAAACGTGAACTGGTATTTGACTCTCAAAGAAAACGACAGCTCAAACTGAGGAAAACACTGCTTCCTTCGTGTTACAACGGTTAACCACGTTTCGGCAAACGGAAAGTAACAATATAAGTCTGTTATGACCTCTTAATGTGGATATGTATTCTCGTGGTTAACCGTTGAAACTCCTTATTTGCACCACATCGCTGGAATTTTTCTCGCCAAGAATACGTATTGCGAAGCACTTTCTACATAGCGGAATCTTCTTTTGCCTTTTGTGAGGAATTAGCGCATAAAAAAGGAAATTTTCCAGCGCCCTGCCATCACATCGATCACGTGTTATCCCGCTTTGCTTGTCATCAAGTGAACTTCTGGGCCAAAGTAATTGCTGTTTTGGCGATGATACAAACTGGTGTGTCTATCTTGAAAACAATTTCTTTGGCATTCTGTGATTTACGAGCTGGGAAATGAAATAGTTGTCCGTCCATCATCAATAAACAATCATGGCACTGAATAAATGGCAGGCGGTCATGCAAAATCATCACAAAAGTACATTCCTACGCTAAAGGTTTGGATCAGTTAGGTAAGAAAAGATCTCCAAAAAATAAAAAAAACACATCTATATATAGGGCATAGCACAAACGGCTGGCCCATTATTTATGAGGTTCATAACCTGTATATTGTTCACGTCCTTTCACTAATGGCAAAGGTCAATGTCAAAAATAATGCATGTCCCCTCTGTTACTCTGCAGTACTTCATTCGCTTAAGTTAACCATTTACCAGAACAATTTTCATTGTACCTTAGTGTTTCCATCCTTTTTCCACTATTGATAATACTTGTGAAAACATTACATCCGCAGCAACGGCGTTGATCAGAACACAAATCATTTCGTCTCGACCCGACAGGGTATCAGGAACGCGCGCGGGAGCACAAGATTAAGTAATGACATACGCTTCCTACATTTTACTCTACGTATACTACAAATCAGGACGAAACTTTATAAATTGATGTTTAAAAACAAACAATTTGGCCCACAGAGTAATGTCAGCGCACAAAAATTCAGCAGCGTCAAAAATCTCGCCGGAAAACACAGATACATATTTCAGACAATCAGGGACAAAAGTAGTTGACACACTTGTTTGAAACGGGTGCTTTTAACAAACATTTAATTCATTTATTATTTCATTCCTTTTAAACGCCGTAAATCCCCCGACCCCCCGAATCAATGTTGTCTGAAGTAAAAAAAAGACTTGAGAGTCCAAAATTCAACATTGATTTTGGGGGGAAGGGGTTGGGGTAGAACAGGGAAGGGGATAAGTATATTCACTATGCAAAAAGGGGCCATTTTACGGAAGTGTGTCAACACTTTTGTCCCTCATTGTAGGCTCGATTTCTGCTGTCTCCTGAGTACAGTCTTTGGTCACTCTCAATAAGGGGGATGATTGCAGGCTTATTTGTCCAGAACAAGGGCTGGTGATCGAGACTAGCTGCACCAGAAGATCCAAGTTGAGAGGCACTCATGCAGGAAATACATTATGCCCTTTGTGGGGAGGCACATTACTTAACAACCCTAAAAACAGCTGGATAGGGATGCCAGACTGACTGCAATAACCACTGTCATAAATTTCTTTTCCTTATCTTTACTTTGTGAGTTTTTCTTTTATGTTCGCATTTTTCTTTTATTTTTGTGTTGTTATTGGTGTGTTATTTTTTTTAACTTTAATATTTTGCCTTGACCTAACCATCATGACCCAGTTAATCAATAAATCTTACCACTTTGGTATATTCTGAATCTATAGCAGACTGTTTTTCATTTGGGATTTAGAAGATATTTTGCTGGCAAATATAGAGTTTATTGTAATATTTTTTTATTTCCACTCTTCTGACATTTTAAGATTTTAAGTAGACAAACTATACGATAAGCATTTTTCTTCTCTCTTTTTGTTTCTCTTTATTATTTTTTCATGTTTGTGTTTTGGTTTGTTTTGTTCTTTTTTATGTTTTGAAGAGACAAGCAGTTCAGTCTGTCAATAAAGCCAGATCAAAAAGGAAACACATGAAAAGCTCCCTTGAAGAACTGGTACATGATTAAGTTTTCATTGTGATATATCACCACATAAATGCTTACGAATAAATACACACCAAGGCAATAGTTCTTAGGCACATTGTAGAAGTGAATCTACTGCACTACAGTTGCACTGTTTTATTTTATTTCACATTCATTTTACATAACTTTGATAAAAAAAGGTGTGAGACGAGAAATAGTGGTTTGGCTTTCACAACAGATCAGGGACCATTAAGTATAATCAAAAGTTATGACAGCATTTATACAGTAGCATTAGCCTAAACCAGTGATTCCTTGGAGCCTACAGTTCAGACATTTTTGGGGGTAGGGGTGGGGATGAGAACTGTGTAGAATTTGCTTGGGTTGCGGTGGAAAAGTGAAAGGGGAGTAGCCACCTACACATGACAATGGGCATTATTAGGGATTTTCAGGCAGGGAAGACAGGCAAGAAAACAACTGGCTACAAGGGCTGTGAAAATGAGAAAACTACCTTGATAATAATGCTAGAGTATGAAACCCTTTTGATTAAATTTACTCTAAACAATGAATGTTCCTGCACACTGCAAAGCATTAAGTCCATTGATTGGTGCGCAACAGTTTTTTAAGCCTCTTACCAGTCAGTAGATTGACTTTCAAAAAACTCCTTCTCGTGACTTTGTCACTCGCTCAGCTGCTTTGTGGCCTTAACAGCTCGCTCCACTTAGTTAGAAACTCATGAGGTTGACTTGTGGCGAGTCTAACCATGACTTAGACAGGAACCCTATTTTTCAATAGTAAAAAATCTGGTGAGTTAAAGTTAGATTGGAGTTTGGCTGTGTCCTGATCAGGTGGCATAAAAATCTTCCTTTTGAAGGATATCCAAGCTGTCCTGGCTTAGATATGGGAGAACCCTTATGGAACCTTGCTTTCAGTTAGGAAACAAATTAAGACTCACTGGATTATGCTGATAGAACAGGGTTTGCACAGTCTTGTAAAATCCTTGAATTTTAGGGGGAGTCCTTGAATTGCATTTTTCCTTGAAAAGTCTTTAAATTTCTGTGCAAGTCCTTGAATTTTCTTCAACTTTGAATGTAGAGGCCTAAAAAGTGATTTTTAATGCCTTTTGTTTGTCCAAGACACAATATAAATCATAGCTATGTACATAAAGCGTTTTTTGTTTTATGCAAGAATGAGAGGAGAAGTTGTTTTGTCACGTTGCCATGGTAGCAAAATTTTTGGATGACAACAAACCAATAAAGTCACTTAAAAGTCTATTTGCACTATTTCAAACTTCACCAATCTTATTTAATTTCATTTAATTTGGCAAATCTTGGCAAAATTTTCTTTGGAATTGTATCTATCATTATCTAAGTTTTAAAAAAGAAAGCGACAATTTTTGGGTTGTGTACACCTGCTCCATAAAGCAGGCTCGAGAAATTAGGAAGTTTCATGTCATAGTGGTGCAATGACAGCAAAGAAATGCAGTGCAAAGTCGTTATTTGTCAATATGCTCATATTTTTCACCCTTCTCCTTGCTGCGGGGAGCAAGGCATGGCGCAGTGGTGAGAGCACTCGCCTCCCACCAAAGTGGCCCAGGTTCAAATCCTGGCATCAACACCATATTATGGATTGAGTTTGTTGTTGGTTCTCTCCTTTACTCAGAGAGGTTTTTCTAGGGTACTCTGGTTTTCCCCTCTCCTCAAAAACCAACATTTCCAAATAATTTCCAATTCGACCAGGAATCAGGTAGACGAAGAACCACTTTGTGGATGTGCTACCTCCAAATCATTATTTATTTATTTTATTTGTCGCCATCGTCGTTGGTTTTGTTGTCATCCAGAGACAGTTCTACCATGGTAACGTGATGTCACACATCTCCTCTCTATTAACTATCAATTTAATAATCAGGTGAACTGAAAAATGTAGAGAAGTTGGTGGAGCAAACAGTTCAAGGCTTTTAAAGTCCCGTTTAGTCAGAATGGACTGGTTATGTCCATTTTTGTACAATCTGTGAAGTAACATTCCTGGTAGGTGGTCCTTGAAAATCAATTGTTGTCTTTGAAAATTCCTTGAAAAAACCTTTAAAAATTGTTGCAATTTTTTGTATGAACGCTGAAGAAACTAGAATTGCTTTCAGAGTATGGCTAATGATTTAAAATTTGTGCTGTTATGTACATTTAAGACTTTGCTCTAGCACTGCCCAATTGCCCCTGGTACCTGACTCTCCCAGGGGACTAAAAAAAATAATAATCTTAGTTTTTTCATAGAAATCATTATGCTGGGTACCCTAGATTTCATAATTTTAGGGTACTGCTGGCTCCCAAGTCAATTTTTCCCAGAGCACAGTCTTGACATTGCATAGGTTAGAAATCATTTAGTAACCCAGTGGCCAGTTATCACAGCTCATTTCTTTTGCCTATAGTGCACTGTAAATGGAGTCAAGTTTGAAAAGTTACAGAAAGGATCAGGAAAAAATGTCAAATCCTTGGAGATGTTCTTCTCAGGCTTTCCAAAGATAATTGGCATGGAGAACTTTCCAAGCCTACAGAGCCTCACTCTGATGGGTCAGCAGATTACAATGCTGGAGAATCTGGAGTGTTTACCAAACTTAACCGAGTTATGTGTGTCAGAAAGCAAGCTGTCTGTAAGTCAATTTTTGTATGACACTGTACACTGTATGCACCCCCCCCCCCCTTCTTCTTGGGAGGAGTTTTCAGTATTCTATTCATGTGCGGCTGAGATTCCATAACCGTTGCATTGTGTTCGATGCTCTATAGCTGCACTGTGGTTACCCTATCGAAGGCTAGATCTCAAAAAAATAAGGTTCAAATATGTTATATCAACATGTATTTGAGAAGAATTATCCTGAATTCCGTGGTATTTAGCGTGTTATTGTGAATATTGCAGGACTTCGCAGATTTACTTGAATTTCGTGGCTCCATAACCACGCAAAATATCAGGAGCCCTGAAAACTCCTTACAAAGATGTAATTAACCCAGGGCTTATAAATAGCAGTTTACAGTATTCTTAAGTTTATACCCCTGACGATGCAGTTTTTAGTTGGGGATCATGCCCCAACTCCCTGCTCTTGTCAAGTCTGATTTCCTTACCCTGTCATAGTCTGACTTCTTGCTTAAAGACCCTAGTACCTTTCACAGCTGCACATACTGTACCCTGATCAGATGTAGGTTGTACCTAATTAATTAATTATTTGATTACATACTCTATTTTAAATATTAGTTTATTTTATTAGAATGTAACGCAATCATTACTACATATATAGTAAATAAAACAAATATCTAAAGTTCAGAATAAGATGAGTAAAGTACAGTGAGTGAGTAGTAGTAGTTTTATGTATTTCGTACATTTTTACTAATGGCCATTCTGAGGAGATTTTATTTTGGGAGTTGTAATGTACTTTAAGTAGCCATTGCCCTTGTGGAAAAGTGGCCATTATAGGGAGGTTAAAACAGATATAAGAGTAAGTGATAATAAATTATGGACTGTCAGTAGAGACTGAGATATGAGTGGTGGCGCTGTGGAAAGGTGGGCATTTGAAGAGGTTACATGTAACTGTAGCTGACTCATCCCCCAATCATCTCTTTTGGAATTGCACACATGACTGCAGGAAATGCAAGGGACACTGATGAGAAGGAGGAAAACAAAATGGAGAGGAAGGGAGAGTTTTCCGTCTTTCCTCCTTCACATCATCTGATGACTCCCCTTGACCACGCTTCTCTTGTTAATAGAGAGCTTTAGATTAGAGGACAACTATGAGTAGGGGATTTTCTCAATACTACGTTGTAAATAGTGCACCCGCGTGAGCCAGCGTCATTTTGGCAGGATAAAAGCTTGATAGCTGTCGTCATTCTACAATGGGTTTTAGCAAGAATGTGGTGGTAGCATGAGCAAGTTATTAAATATGAGATGTTTTATCATAACAAAAGATATGGTGATGTGTATTTTGTTTTTCTCAACAGAAAATTTCTGGTCTCAGTGAGTGTAAACAGTTAAGAAAACTGCTGTTGTATGACAATAGGATTTCAAAAATAGAGAATATTTCACATCTGGATCAGCTGACTGTCTTGTGGCTCAATAATAACAGAATCAGTGATATAGAGGTAATAGCCAGTAACCATTTATAAAATGTAACTTCCAGATTATTTACACCAGTTAGCTAAGCTTGTCAAGTGGGGGTATGTCGACAAATAATGTGCATGTTGTTAGTCCAACCTACTCTAGCTCATCTAGACTACAGGGTTCGTACGCATCTTGAAAACCCTTGAAAACCCTTGAATTTCAGGAGTCCGATTTCAAGGTCTTGAAAGTACTTGAATTTCGTTTTGGTCCTTTAAAGTCCTTGAGTTTTTATTGAACAAGATCGAAAATGTTCTGCACTATCTGTAAACCCAAAACATAGATGTTAACACAAACATTTTTCTTGGTTTTGAGGTAAAATGGTCATTAAAAAAAGTCCTTGAAATTTCTAGTTAGGGTCCTGTAAAGTCCTTGAAAAGTCCTTGAATTTTTGGCCTGAAAAAGTGTACAAACCCTGAGACTTAGCTCAGATCAAGCTTTTAGCCAGGAATTGGTACGTGGCTGTCCACCAATCGTTTGAAATCACTGACTGAGAATCAACAAGATGTGCTTTTTATTTATTTGTTTTCACCTAAAAAGTGGCTGTCCAGTGGATGGCTGGTCGGCCACCTGGCTAAAAGCTTGGTTCAGATGATCATGCAGTGTGCAAACAAAATCATGTCTATAGCCCAGGGGATAGTGAATTTTGCCATTATGCCGTTAAAAAAGCATTCTGTTCTTAACTTACCCAACAGGCAAGCGAAGGGGGATTTAACTACAGAAGTACTTTAAGATAAATTTCAATTTCCTTATTAATTCACATGGACCAACCAAAAGCCATTTTAAGTTCATCTGACAAAGTTAATTCTGTAAATACTAGTATCAAAACAAGTACATGTTAATAACACTACATTTCATTTCAGACTATAGGTTGTGTGATCCCCACAATCTCCGGTTAAAAGTAAGGCTCCTAAAGCTTTTGTTAAATCGTAGCTGACTAAAACGAATGAATAAAGCAATTAAGTAATTAATTAACTAATGCTGTAATTATTAATTAATTAATTAATAGTTATTAATTAATTATTAATCCTCCTTATCAAATCTTTTTTTGGGCTAGTCCAAATGACTTTCGGGCTAGTACATGCTAGCTGTAAAACTGATCCTCCTTGCACTCTGTCATGTTATTAATTACAGTAGGCTGTGATAATAAGTACTGGTATTATTTGCCTTGCCTCATCTATCCTTCCTCATCATAACTGAAAGTGTTCTCATGATACAGGGATTAGATGGGCTTCTGTATCTTCTGGACTTAAACTTGGCTGCAAACAGAATAACAAAAATAGGTCAGTAGTTCCAACTCTCCAAAAACAGGTAACCGTAGTTTTTAACCCTTTAAACCCTAAGATCAAAAATTGAATTCTCATTTGTGCCCTGATTCATTTCCTACAGAAGTAGTGGGGAGAAGTTGATAAAACATCAAGCAAATTTATTTTGTGTGATTGTAATTCTGGGTCTAGGAGACAAAGGAAACTAAGAATCGACCCAGGTTAAAAAAAAAATTTTAACCTTAATTTCATTTAGACGTGTAACATATACATAATGTAGCTGTGTGGGTATTGTTTCACGGTCAGACTGAGTGTAAAAAAAACTTTCGTGCAGTTTTAACAAAAATTCTTAAACAGTATCGCTTTTTTGCAGGAAATTCTCTCAGTGGAAATTTAAACCTTAAGACGTTAGACCTTTCTGCAAATTGCATTGCATCATTGAAGGTACCGTTTATTGTCTTGCCAACGTTAGTTTACTCGTCCATGCCACTGGACGGCGCTTGATCAAGGAAGCAAACGGTTGCTTGCAATGCCTTTTCTCCTTCGTTGCATAGCGTCCGACCTGGAGAAATCACTGCTTGCAGGGTAATATACCACAGACCTGGAATATAATATTACCTTGAAAAATGATATCACATAGTGAACATAGTGTTACTTGCAAACTTGCAGACCTAGTCTGCTGTGCAGCAGACTAGGTCTTAGAAGAATGACCTTAATAATAATATAAAATTCCCTGTACCAGGTAAAGACCTGTCTGATGTTGTTTTTAAATTGTTAGGATCTGACAAACCTGTCACGTCTACCCTGTCTGGAGTCGTTAAGTCTAAAGGACCCAGTGTATGGACCAAACCCTGTAGCTTTATTGTGTAACTACTCCACTCATCTGCTCTATCACTTGCCACAGCTACGTAGAGTTGACTCATACAGCGTGGAAAACAAAACACTCAAAGATCTAGCAGAGGTTAGTTTCTGACTAAATCAACCCTCCAAGTTGCGACCACTTTGGTCGCCATGGCGCCTAAAATTTTGGATCTGGCAACTTGATTTGTAAAAAAGTCTCCCTAAACCAAAAGCGTTGGTTGCCAAATGTCGACCAAGCAAAAACTTTAATTTGGAGGGTTGTAAATAAAGCTTGGGTAACATTGCCAACAAATATTAATATTGAAACTGTGATTGGAATGTTTACACTTTTACGGCACGTTTTGTTAACTGTGGTAATGTCCCAAGGGGTTGGGGGGCACCTCCTTTATTTGTCCTAGGCGGGTATATGCTGCTTTATTGGGTATCGTTTTCAGGGTCTCGCGTATTAAACCTTAAACAGGGAATGCAGTTTTCACTATTTAGCATCATGAATGCGGTGTGTCTTGGGACCAGAGGCCATTAAAAGTGTGTGAAGGTTGGCAATGAGCGGTCTACATGTGTGGTAGCAATGATTTTCTTCCATAAAATCTTTTTCTCATGTTAGTTTAATAAACTACCTAATTGTGTAAGCTAAATGACATCAACAGGGTAAGGATTTCAACTCCTCGGTGACACGCATGACCTCTACCCAAACGTTCCTCAAGTGCCCCCCACCCCACCCCCGGTCTTAATATAGGAAGCTTATAAAGCAGCAACGACGGCGACGGCTACGAAAACGTTACTTAAAAAGTGAATTCCCGCTGCATCAAACTTTATCGCACTTATTCCATCTCGTTTGTCAAATGTTGGCAATTTTTTTCTGGAGTGGAGTTATAAAAGACTCTATCAAAGTTCAGGAAAAGAAAAAGAAAGTCGGCGTTGTCTTGAGTTCACGTCCTCCACAAAAAGTGAAATTGGGCATTTTCAAATAGTAGTCGTGCAGTGAGGGCAAAGAGAAATGTACAAAAAAGCGTGATGCACGTGCAAAATTGTTGTTTTGCCTATTAAAACCTATTTCTTTTTTGTCGTTCTCGTTGACGACGTCGTCGTCGTTGTTTAAGCTCCCTAATATATAAATGTGTTTGGCTTTGGATTGAGCTTTTCTTTATTTACAGACTACAGTGATAAAGAAAAAGATGTATTACAACATGCGTGTAAAGACCCTACAAAGGAACAAAGCTGACTTACTGTTCCGACTTGAGACAGAGAAAGCTGTTCTTCAAGCAGAACCAAAGAACAGGATTCATAAGCTCTACTCAGCTGTTAAAGATGTGAGTACTGGCCTCACTGTAATACTACAATAATAATGATACCTCGGAATCTCCAAGCTGTTGTCAGACGCTTGTATAGACTGCATCATCTAGTCCCCTAATTTTTCGTAAGATTGTCAAGATCGAGCACTTACCTTTGCGGGCGGCCATCTTGGTGTCAAATGTACCGAGGCGGAGGGCTCCGTTGTTTTCACGTCGTAATCGTGCAAAAATGTGCCAAAAAGTAGGGAGCTTACGAAACCACGACAGCGACGGCAACGGGAACGTCAGAAGGCAATGGGTTTAAAGAGCAAAACATCAACTCTGCCCGTGCATCGCGTTTTTTTGCCTACATTTCTTTACCGTCCTTGCACAACTACGACGTGAAATAACCAAGTTTGAAGTTTACTTGGGAAGGGGAACGGCAAGGGGATAAATTCTAGCATCTCTGTCTAGCTCGGGCGCGGTCCCCTCTCTTCAGTTCCAACCCAAAATCTCTTCTTTTAAGTAACTGGGGCCCTAGAGATAATCGCGAAAAAAAGTGAAAGGATGCTAAGTCTATTTGTCAGCGACGTTTTCGTGGACTTGCCGTTGTCGGATCGTAAGGTCCCCAGTGTGATGCACGTGCAACGTTGTTTTGCTTATTAAACCTATTGTTTTTTTTTGGCGTTGTTGTTGCCGTCCGCGTCCTCGGATCTTAAAGTCCCTAGTGTCTCATCTTGATCAAGACAACGTTGGTCCGAAGTGAGAATAAAAGACATGATACTTGAAAACAACGCGAATTCACTAAAGTGACGCTTTTGAGGCCATCGCCGTTGTGGCTGTTTAAGCTCTCTACTGGTTGGTCCCTCACGGAAGGTTTGACTTTATTTTTATATTTCCTCGTAGATTGAAAGAGAAGTAGAAGAACTTACGGATGGGACGTCCACATCTTTTAAAGAAAACAAAAATCCCATTAGCCCTGCTACAGGTGATGAAGAGAAAAAGGAAAACATTCAGGAAGACGCAGCGAATATCGTAGCTGATACAGTGGTGTATTCACAGAGATTACAACAGAAGAAGGAGGTTCTTTTGGAAAGAATTGCTAAGCTACAGAAACAATGCGAAGAGTAAGAAGTGCATTTTGCCATTTTAGAAGGTTTTTCTCCCCAGTTACGCTAAGCAGTCTTTCTTTCAAATTGCCCTACATTATTGTTGCTCTATTTGCGAGACATATTGCATGGGACTTCGCTCAGGCCTCGTTTATATATCCTGGGAAAGAGGATCACCCTCACCAAGTCAACTTTAGCGAGCGTTTATATGAGAAATAAGTAGACCGTTCTTCCCAATTCAACAGCGCATGCTCTGATTGTCTTCACCGAGTTGAACCTGCTGGGCGAGGCAAAGTGTTTGTATGGAGAAAAATTGGTCCGCGGACTAGGAGAGTAACCCTACAGTCGAAAAGGGTTAACCCAGTTAAGCCGGGTCACACATCTAGACGAGCCAACTTTTTGTTTCTCGTGTAAACGGTTCGCCAAGTTTTGTAAGGAAATAGATGAAAAGTTGGTTCGCCCAGGGTAGCTCAAGTAGGCGGATGACCCTTCAACCTAGGAAACTTTTCTCTTGATAAACGGAGCCTTAGTATAACTCGGTCATTGATTTTTTTTAATCAGCCAGTTCCTATTGATGTTTAGTGGCAAATTCTGTTTTAAGGATTGACCAGTGCCATCAAGAGAGCTGTGATCAAGTGAACAGTGTGTCAGAGATGACAGTTCAACGACTTCTGTTAGAGTTGGAGACCGGTGGAAATGTGCGCTTTGAGGATGGTAAACCGTCAGACCCCTGGTACAAATCATGCCATGACCTTGTTTTGTCAAGATTCTGTGTTGGAGATTACCAGGTATATTAATTTTCTTTTAGACTGCACTCAACCTTATCGTTCAGGGAGCTTGAGCGACGGCGACGGCAATGAGAACGGCAAAAAAGAAATAGGTTTAATAAGCAAAACAACAACTTTGCACGCGCTTCACGCTTTTTTGTACATTTCTGTTGTTGCAGGACTTCGTCGTGAAACGTCCTAATTTCACGTTTTATGAAGTCAGCGGAAAGTGCGTCAACTTTCCAAAAGGACACGATGACTGAAAATTTCGGGGGCATTCAGTTCTCTGGTTTTTACACTGTTAGAAAAAGAAATTATTCACTGGAAACAACAACTTGTAGTTGATTGCCTTAGGCACTCCAGATCCTGTTAAAATAGGAAATCCGTCTTTCATAAAAAACAAGAATCAAGAACGAAGACCATTCATAGCAGCAGTTAAAGGTGACTGGTCAATCGTCATTAAACATTGACCTCCACGTGACCTGAAAAAGCTGATTGGCTACTGGTCCTAGGGTCACAATTTACTACCGATTGACTGTAAAAAGAAGCTTTAGGAACTGTGTAAAGGTCAGGTCAAACTCCATTGTTTCAACCAATTTTGGGGAGGGGTGACTCGCATGCTTTTGAGCACTGCATGTTCTCTTACTTCGCGCTTCAACACGATTGTAGCAATAGCTGGCATGGCTTGTTCAGTTTCATACCAGAAGTGTAACATTTGTTTTTGCTCAACGTCTTTTTTAAAACTTCCTTCACAGGGTGCAGGAATTTCTGGAATTAAAATTCATCGAATCACAAGGGTACATAACAGAATCTTACGAACCCGGTTTGATGATAAATTGGACAAGATTCTAGACAAGGACGATATCACTGAATTAACCAAGTATGAAGACTTTGATATACTGTAATAAATAACTCAGTTATATGAAGATTATACACTTGAACATCCATGTGCGACCACCTCCTATAAGCGACCACCTATCCAAAGACAACAATTTTCCCAGTCAAAATCCTGTGATTACAACCTCTGGTAAACGACGGCGTCTCATAAGCCACTGCGACCAATTTTGGCCAGACGGTTTAATAGTTTTCGCGTTGTTTTTAACCTCTTGAAAGCGACCACCTGGGCTAAGTACCAGGGTTTCTTCAGGTTCAGCGGAGCCAAGATCTGGAACACGCTTTCTCTGGCCCTGAGGAGCGAGCATGATTTAATTAAGTTTGGGTTTGGCCTAAAAAGGCACTTTAGATCCAAGCCAAATTGAGCCTCCAAAACTTTCGCTATAAATACTTGTTCCATTTTTCTTATCTGTTATTGTTTTTTGTGTTTTTTTTTTCTTTTCATCAGGGCCCCATTCAAACCAGCCTCGCTGAACTGGGCACCCCTGACTAAATATTGTTCGAAATAAGAATAAATAAATTTAGACATTTAAAAATTAAAATACATTTGTGGGCTTTAAAATAAAGTTTTCATTCATTCTTACCCCAAAAAGAGACCTAGCCAGTCCCTACTATACTACTTTGTGAAATTCATATTTTAGTGTATCAACATTACCATTGTGTCGTGAAGTATATTTGAGATGGAAGTAGTTAAAGCCGTTTCAAGCTGGACTAATTCCTGTTTTGTTCCAGGGGAAGATCGTACAAGAGATTTTTAGAATATCTATTCTTTATGTGGGATCCATCTTTACTTGACGGAAATGGAGAACCCATCAGAGTCTTGGAGAAAGGCTTCCGTCCTGCATCTGTTTATGAGGTGCGTAAATTCGTGTGTTTTATATACGTGACTGTATTAAACCATGAAAACTGCCACCCGCCTCTCCAGGATAATTGACCAAACGAGAGAGAAAAATCCTTATGCTCCTCCGTTCAATATTCAGGAAAGGGAACGAATTTCATTTTGTGAAAATGCTGAAGGCAAATAGCGGCATTACTTTTAGTAGCATGCTAGACACTGCGAAAGAGGCTTCATTGGAATGGTCACACCAAAGGATTTCATCCACAGACTCAAAAGTTAGAACTACATAGTAAATATAGATTACCACGTAAACGTACTGCGGAAGAGGTTCATTTTAATGGTCACACCGTAGGATTTCATCCACAGACTCAAAAGTTAGAACTATATACTAAATAAATAGTGCTATGTGAAAGTACTGCTGCCAGAGGTTTCATTTGAATGGTGACACCATAGGATTTCATCCACAGACTCAGAAGTTAGTTTACATACTAAATAAATAGTACCATGTGAAAGTACTGCTGAAGAGGTTTCATTTGAATGGTCACAGCATAGGATTTCATCCACAGACTCAAAAGCTAAAATTGTGGATGGCCTGTAATAAGCCATTTGTGCGATGACGTCATTTTACTACCACGACCAGAATCCTTCAGATATTGTTTTCTAGTGCAAATTAGGGCTTTTGTTATTTAAACCTTGCGGGGATTACCAAATTTTAAATATGAAAAGAAAAACGAAGCGGATTCTGGTCTTAGTAGTAAAGTGATGCCATCGTGCAAATGGCCTATTGGCTCTGGGATCGTAAAGCGCTCTGCACATTAATTCCGTGTTGATTCTTTGTGTTCCTAAGGGATTGAATGAAGATGGTGGTGTACCTCTCGCGAACAGCGTCAGTGTCTGCGACAGACCCAGAGTGGATTACCTCAGGACAAAAGCCAAACAGAGAGGGAGTACCGATCAATGCCCGTTTAGGCATGGTGAGTGTTCTATAGTGGCCAGGAAGTCAAATAAAACAGTCTAGAGCGATTCAAATCAATAGGCTTACTCCAAGCACTTGTCTTATGTACATTATTTTAATGCAGGCATTAGTAATTGATGATGAAAAACCTAACTCGCCAATTGAAGGATGGGTGCCTCAGATATCCAGGAGCTTCTCCTATTGGCAGATTATTGGCAGCCAACTAAATCAAGCAGGTGGAGTCTGCATCGCTGGCATATCTTGGCAACCCGACCTTAAGCCTCAGGGAGGGGGTAACAGTCGTTAACTGACGCTAGCTTGCAGTCGCTGACCACCCGTGACAGCTCAATTTGAGAATTGTTTGAGAGCACTCGATGTTTTGACACATGGGCATAACTTAATTCCGCTGACCGCGGTAGGGCAGCTTGGGCGCTCTTAGCTGTCAACCACGTTAAGTATCATTAACCGACTCTATTTTTTAAGGGTTTGGAGGATTTTTTTCCGTTCTACAGCTTGCCATAATAAAGCAATTGTGGTACTTTTCGGGGAGCCACGAAGCCTTTCGAAACAGTAGATTAATGACCCAAATGATGTCCCTATAGCCCTAAAAAATAGTTCGTGTTTTTAAAGTTCAGTCAATGGGTTCTGTAGAGCTTCGTGGTTCCAGTACTTTCAAGTCCAACAAAATAATTATTTACCCCGTGTTACGTTTAGGTCAACTGATCGTCGCCAAAGTGTTTGTTGGAAATGTGGTACCTGTTAAGAATGAAAACAAGTAAGTGAAACATGACCTTTTTGTCTACAGTTTTAGTCAGGCTTTGTATATTTTGTTATCATATTTCGAGCATTTTAGTGAGGTAAGGGCATTAAGCAATGTATTATTCCAGTATTTTTGCGGAATTTTCCAGGAATTTTTTTTTTGTTGTCAGAGAAGATGAAAATTGTACAAAAAAATTTAAGAGAAATTGAATACTTACAGTCGAAATGCGAAAGAAAAAAATTCACATGTCATACAGCCGACTAAGGGGTTATCTTTTGCTGTACAAAAACCATTAACTTGTTTATGTTGCTGTTATAACACTAATAAGATTTTGAAAAGAAACGAAAAAAGCCACTTTATGATGGATGTGATCGAGCATTTTAGTGACTTTTGTGGGAGAGAGTCATACCACGCATTTTATTGGGAAAAAACGGAGCATAAAGGGGGAGCATGTTATTTGGAAAACAAAAGCATAATGCACAAAAGTCCAGTTATAGTAGCTACAATTAGTTTGTAGATACCTGGTGGAACCCAGAACACTTCACCACTTGCAGATCTCCTATAATGCACCTTATTTGCCCCCCAACATTTTGCATAAGCATTGCTTTCAGTTTCTCTTGGGACGGCTGTAATACCTAGGAGAAATGAAAAACAAAGGTTATGCAAAATGTTGGGGGCAAATAAGATGCATTATAGGAGATGTGCAGGTGGCGAATAAGAAGGAAGTGTTTGGCCAAGAAAGTACACTGGGGTGGGCGGGGGGGGCGGGGATTTGGGAGTTACAAGACCTCTCTTCTTTCGTCTTGGGTGAAAATTCTCTCTGCATCCTTTACGAAAATATTCAAGAAGCTTTTTTCTAATGTTCTGGAAACTCTCGAATTCTGGATTACACAGTCAATTCTCTCTCCACACTATTTGTCCGTTCGGCTTGATAGGTGTAAACTAACAACGTTGATTTTTCCTTCTTAGAATTGCAAAGGCGTCTTATCGAGGTGCAGACTCCGTTTATCGAAGTAGGGTACACGAGAACTGCCCGTCGGGTTTGAAAAGATCAGTCAGGGACACGAATTGCGAGTGTAGTACGCAGCAGTGTGCGTGGTACGTGTTTGATAACGAGATGGTGCTGCCTGAATACGTTGTGGACTTTGAATATACAACAAAGGTAACTAGATCGATTTTACCCCATATTCCTGGCTGGTTGGACTGTACCGAAAATTAGAATGATTTGTATGGGAAAAACAGCTCTTGCCACCCAGTTACGTTTGAGTGTTTTTCCATACAAATCCTTACAAAGTTCGAAATTTTCAATCTGTTCTTAAATCTTTCCTTAAGCACTACGGAGGTCAAATTTTCTTTTTTTCATAACAGACAATCCTTGTAAATTTCGAAATTGTCATGCTGTTTTGAAATCTTTCCTTTAATAAGCATTACAGGGCAGAAATGTTCGGTTGTTCGTAGCAGACAACCCTTATAAACTTTGAAATTTTCAAGCTGTTGTAAACTCTTTCCTTTCGCATAACGGGGCTCAAATTTATAAAAGACAATTTTTGGCGACCGTTGTAACGGCTACTTTCGAAATACATTGCTGAAAACTTACAGGATATCGAATTTTGTATGCTCTTTCAGTTCCTGCTAAAATCATTCTTCCAAATAAAAAGAGTTGTCCTCGTGTTTACTGACAGTTGGTCATACGTGACCACCTATTGCAAAAGGCCTGTTGTCTTATTCCACGCACATTTATGTAAACTTTCCTATTTGCAGGTGAAGCCCAAGTCGTCATTCATTTACTATTACGGAGAACATGAGAACAACGCTACTTACAAACCAAGCAATGACGAAGAAAAATCCGACATTCCCGACGGAGATGTCTTAAATCTGGAGCCCAACATCCCTATAAGACCAAGGTAAAAGTTGCGAAAAATAATTGCTGTCCGAACATACTGGCCCAATGCCGATAAAGACCGGCGGTATCGTAGATGATACGAGAGATGATAAGCAGCTGTCGTATGCACTCGTAAACTGCTCTCAATAAAGTCACGATGCGTTGTGTTTGCTCTCTCGTTCAGCCCGTAACCCTTTTTTTGAACTCTTGCTATTACAATTCCTCAATCTAAAATAACACATTCTCTCTCTCTCTCTCCCTCCCTCTCACCATCATCCCACGTGGTCAAGTCTAAATAACTTATGGTTTGCGTTTACGCAAGGTCCTACCTACAAGGGAGGGGAAGGGTAGACCTCTCGCACACAGCGGTTTCTGAACTTCACACTTCCTTTATCAATGACTTCTGCTTCCCGTCACTTTCTCATTAGTCACTGACTTTCCCAATCCGAACGTTTTCACAATACTGCGCTATTTTCCCGTTTTTTGCGATACCTTTATGGGTAAAAATAAGTGTTAGCTTTCCGTCCTGGACACCCTTAATGAGACCGAATCTGCAATTTCTCCACCTAAGCGAGACGACGGGCATCCCCGTCTTTTTCTCAGGGGAGTTTTCCTCTCCCCTGTCTTACTCGCCTCCCTAACAGGCTGCCAGGGGTTGTTCTGTACTATTTTTATGGATCAATTTACGTTTCTGGGAAACTACCCACCTACCCCTCTCCTAACCCAACATTTTTCCCTGATTGAGAGTTTTAAGTGTTGATGTTGACCTAGGGGAGGGGTAGGTGGGCAGTTTCCCAGAAGCCTAAATTGATCCATTTTTATTTCCCATTTAATATAAGAGTGTAAAATGACACAAAGCTTAACATAAAATTCTCCAGATGTAAAAAGTGTCAGGGTTGTTGGAAAAATACAGTTTTTGGTGATTGTGTCCGTTGTTTTTTCTACTTTTTTTAGGTTGATTGCTTTGACGGAAGAATTGTTATTAAAGAGATGTAAAGTGGCGTCTCTTGAGCATATTGTCGTAAGTTAACCACGAGAACGAACAAACCCAAAATTTCGGGAAAATTCCACTTGATATTTCATAAAGTACTTAAAACATACTGCATCCCTGGAGCGGACTGTTCACAGTGCCTATTTTCCCCTCCCAAAGTTTGAGGGTCATATTCGTCCGGGTACGATTATCGATGTCAAGCGCTTACTGTGGCTGTTGGCCATCTTGTCATCTTGGTTTCAAATGTCTCGATTGTAACCCCATTGAAGAGTATCAAATCTACCTCGGGAGAGAGGCTATAAACCCCAACCCCTGCCCCCTCGGTACATTTGAAACCAAGACATCTGTAAGATGCAGCAGGCGCTCCACCTGAACGATCTTACGTAAAAGTTTGGTGCTGTAAGCAGTCTATTGGGACCATGACCGTGGCAGGAACAGAATTATTTGCGCCGCAAAATTACTGTTCATTAGTATTACTGCACTCAATGTTTCGATAAAATACATCGTACTTTCTGGCTGCAACGCCCTCTTTGCCTTCAGACCACTGGAGTCCATCATATCATTGTTAGTAGTCTCTCTTATATAGGATACCATCCCAACCTAGATCTCGGATCTTTGGTTATCCCGGTTTGTTTTTTCATTAGCCTGCTAGCAAGCTTTCCATTTATGGCGAGCGAGCGAGCGACGAAGCCGAGAGGGTCGCGGGCCGCTCTCGCGTGACTTCTCGCGATTCTCCCAAATGGAGAGCTTTCTCGCACGCTAGTTGTTTATGAGTTCTGGATGCTTTTCTATTCAGGTCTTAAATCTTCACGGAAACGGACTTAGTCGACTGCAGCACGTGACTTGTATGACAGCGCTGAAGAAACTGACAGTCAGCTTCAATGAACTGACGCGATTGGATGATATAAGTTACATGGTAATGTCAGATGATTGAACTTAACCGTTAAGCACTCGAAACAACTTGTAATTGCTTCCTTGGTTTGTATCAGATGTTATTGTTTGAGAGAATGTTGAGTTTGTTTTTCGTTTTTTGATAGCTTTTCTTGGAATACCTTGACGCCAGTTTCAATAAAATCACAACCTTAGATGGTCTGAAGGTTTGTTGAATTTCATTCGTCTAGTACTGCTAATCTCGTTGATAGAGTAGATCCGCCTTCTTCAAAACAACCTGCTCAAAAAACCCTCCGGTAAATCGAGTATTGCTGGTTTGCTTTTGACGATATCAATTTCCAAAATTAAGAATAATAGAATCCATTCTCATAAGTTTTTATGTCTGTCAGATCTTTTATTAGATCTCCGTTGCGCTTCTATTTTGCAAATTTTTTAAATTCCCAAGCTTTTGCATAGTACAAGATTAAAATGGGTACCTGAGAGATTTCAAGAAGGTAAAACCGGCACTAGTTGTCTTTGAAGTTTTTACTAGAGAGCAAGCCTTGTATTAGAAAAACTACTACTAGGATCTTGAGCTGTTACTTATTGCATTTTTAATGTTCATTGTTGATGGTTAATAGTGAAAACCCGCAATTAAAATCAAAAATAATACAGTTGAACCTGTCCACAACGGCCACCCTCGGGACAGACGAAAGTGGCCATTGTAGAGAGGTTTAAATAAGAATCAATGTATGGACTGTCCGTCAAAAAAGGTGGCCGTTAGTGGAGAGGTGGCCGTTAGTGGAAGTTCGACTGTTAACCTGTGCCGTATTTCCTTCACAGGGTTGCAATAGGTTAAAATATTTAGACGTGAGCTGGAACCAACTGAGTCACACCCGAGAGCAACTGGGCATCACGAGAAAACACGTGATCACACTCACTCATCTGGACACGCGTAACAACCCCTGGCAAAAGGTGAATACACTCGTTACATACTCGCAAATAGAACACAGTACCATACCGTGTTATATGTCAAAGCTATATACTGGAATCTTTTGTGAAAACTGCAGTGGGCGCGACCCTTGAAGAGTTAAGTGAGGTCTCCATTTTCTTAGCCACGGTCTCAGACGTAATTTGACCCCTGTTTATAGTAACGTCTGTGAAGCAGCGCCGATAGGGAACTTAAACACCAGACGTTCTTGATTCACGAACGGCATGGCTGGCGGCGCAGAACTGGATCGGGCACGTGGTTTACGTGCCAAATGCAAATCATTAAGCAAACCAACATGAAACCATCACGAACGCTGACGGAATAATTTATTTGAAAATGTCCTTCAAAGATTTGCGTGAAGTTTTGTTTCTTTCTTACGCAGAATACATGATTTCGGACGAAGAATTTCTACTTTTGTATGACGAACACTCTTCGAAGAACCCAGAATTTGAACCTCTGGTTTCAACCTGAGAACTCGCGTTTGAAGTCTGTGGCCGCAACTCAAGAACGTCTTGACAAGCGCAGTGGCTGTCATGCTGCAAAAATACTTCCGGTTGGCGTCCGTGGTACCAAGAAGATCTGGTGCTTAAGTTCCCTGATATCTTTGTTCTGGGTCCCAAACAGACTCAACGAATTACCGGAAATGTGCTTTAAATTTCCGTCGAACCTGATTGGCAAATCGACAATGGCTTTTTTAACAGTCCAAACATCGCGCGTACCTTGGCCCAGAACTAAGGCCTTGTAACAGTCTTACTCACATGCGTACCAATGGGCCATTTGCGTGCTGACATCATTGTTAACTGCTACTACCAGAATTCTTCAGGGATTGGCTTTCTTGTGCAATGTAGGGCTTTTGTAGTAATAGAAGTCAGTGGTGAATTGACCCCAAAGCGCAAATAACCTTTTGGTTCTGCACCTAGATAGGGTTAACCTCTTCATCTCCTTTTCAGTTGTGAATAAACAGTTATTAGTGTTATTATTATTATTATTATTATTATTATTATTATTATTATTATTATTATTATAATCGAAAAGAATCTTTATTACAAAACCTCAATTAAACATAAAAATAATAATAATAATAATAATAATAATTATTATTATTATTATTATTATTATTATTATTATTATTATTATTATTATTAAACCTCTGACAAGACTGGTCTAGAAAACCTAAATGGTTTGGGATATTCCTCAAAGTCAGGCCGCATTATACATTCAATTATCTCTACAGTTAATTTTCTCTAAAGCTTTTGGACTGGCTGGCGCAATTATGTCAGTTTTTGGGTGGTGTCGATCTTATTTTTTATGTCAAGGGAGAGTTCAATTTGCTTTAAAAAGTTGCCAGATGTGTTACTTTAATTCGATAAAGTCGTTCACTTTCATTGTGAGTCATCTTTTATGTTTCAGCCTGAAACTTTGCGTATGCGAGCTCTTGGAAGGTTGAAAAACTTGGAGTGTCTTGATGGTGTGAACGTCTCGGACGAAGAGATGACGACAGCATTAAAGATGGCGGCTGCTTCCCGCCCCTCCTCGTTTTCAATCCTCGCGCATGCTCGCACAGACCAGAGTAAACCACGGACTTTGAGCTTGGTACCGACTGCGCAAGCTATCTTGACAAACAGCCAGAATAAACCCGTCAAGTTAATGGACGATGATAGCCAGTGGTTTCAAAAAGTAACGTCATAACGTTTTATGTTTTTATGTTACCAATATGTTGTCTACTGTTGTCGTTTTCACGGTCACCGTCTATTCATTGCTTTGATGGGCATACTCAACTATGATAACCTGCGTCACAGACGTAATTTAACTCCTGTTAGTAATGTCTGCGAAGCATCGCCGAGATCCTTTTTCTGGGCTTCCTACGGACTCAACGAATTACCGGAAGTGCGTTTTTGGATTTCCTTTCGTCCTGATTGGCAAATCGACAATGGCTTTTCCTCGCCAAAATGACGCTGGCTCACTCGTGAGCACTACTTGGTATTAAGAAAATCTCGTAGTCATCCTCGTCTTAAAAACTAAAGCTCTCTATTGGGTCCTTTACCTATTGTTTCATCAAACCAATAACAGCCCTGGACGGAAGGCTCGCCTGAAAATCTCTACTAAGGAGCGGGAAAGCTGACAAGAAATACGTGTTTTAAACTATTGCGAGATGTGAAACTGGATGAATTTGAACAATGAGCTGTTATCTTAATATATGTAAACAATCTCCTAGACTTAATTCCATAAACGTATCCCTTTTTTATTAGGTCACAACAGTCAATCTTGACAACCAACATCTCGGCAAGTTAGCGAATATGGAACAACTGGAGAATCTGCGGTGGGCTTCTTTTAACAACAACGATCTCACCAAGATAGAGGTATAAATATTGTAAAAGTGAACAAAAAGACCACGAGTGCCTGCTTGTCTTGCCAATCTTAGGCGAATTCCGGCTGACATATTAGGGACTCAAGATCGAGAATGTCGAAAGAGAAAAACCAAAACTCTGTACGCGCAGCACACTATTTGGAATGTTCACGCCCGCACGAACATGACATGAAATTACTGAATTCCACGTCTTATGGAAAACCCCAACGTAAAAAACCGGAGCAAATATTTTCCCCTATTTTAAACTTGGATATTTTCCATAAGAATTTAACTCCAGGAGAGCTCTCCTACATTTGACAAATTGAGCGAGTTGGAATAATAGCGTTAAGTTTCAATGAACACGAAGCCCCTTTTTAGTGAGCTTTCGTAGCCTTCGCAGTCGTGTGACGTGGTATCTTAAACTCTCTTCTATCTCCAACAATACCAGCGTTTTCAGTTCCAAACACCGTCCACAAAGACCTTTTATCGTTCAGTCCTGCATATTAAAGGGAACGCTATACTCGTGGACTCGTTTGTAAAGAGCTTTGTTCTTTTTGTTTTCAGGGTCTCGAATCTTGCATTCATCTTGAGGAGCTTTCAGTTGAAAACAACTGTATCAGCAAATTTGAAGGTAATTTTAAAGACAGTTTGCATGAGCCATGTCCATACCAAGCGGTTACTAACTCCTTCAATTTCCCGCGCTTTTTTGCGTTATACCAGAAATGAGTTTCTGGTTATAATTATTATGGCGGGTCATATTGCGAGGTCAAACTATCTTACAGCATTCTATTCTAGAATAACATAACTAAAACTCCCTAAACTCTGTGTGACCAATGCTTTTGCGCTGTCTTTTGATTCAGGTCTTTCCAAACAAACAAAGTTAACCTGGCTAAGTCTAGCCGGTAACAATCTTACGTCCCTTGACACCGGAGTCCTGGAAAAACTACCACAGTTGAGATATTTGTCTGTGGAAAACAACGCCATCACCTACCTTCGTGGGCTCCAGGTAACGTTGTTCACGTTTCTAAGCCAAGAGCCTAGGAGCCTTTTTTTTAACTGAGCGCTTTCTATTTGTCTAAAAAAAATGGTCGTGTTTTTTGTTCAGATAACGAGGGAAATGTTTTCCAAGTTTTTTTCAATGTTTTGTACCTAGGCTCCTAAGCAAATATGGGAAGAGTACAGGCAGGCTGGCTCCTGGGTCAGGTTACCGCAAAGGGTCATGGAAGGGGCATGCGAAGCCAAGCGCAAAGCAAGCGAGGAGCGACAGACACGCGCGACGCGGAAAGGCACGGTTTTTCTGCGCTTTCCCCTGTGGTGCGTGTCTGGTGCCCCACGCTCGCTTCGCGCTTGCCTTCGCTTGCCCGAAAAACGCGAAAAAAAATAACGCCTGTTATGCAGGCTAGGTTTATGGTTAACGTGGTACGAGGCAAGGGGTTTTTATGTGATTAAGAAATTCTTGGAAATTCTTGCGCCAAATCAATCTCCAGTGCTGACCTTACTGTTGTTCTTCTTAAAAGAGTCGACAGAATTTGTTTTGAGATTTAATCGCTGCGTCTTCTTTCAGAATAATCAAAATCTTCAAGAACTTTACATTGGCAACAACCAGCTGACCAACATCCGGGAGATATTTAACCTAAAGGTAAAACATATTTATCTCAATTTATGTCTTGCCGGATTTTTGAAAAAGTTACCCCCAGATAGATCGCTTCCGTCAAACAGTTCTTTTTTTTTTCGGCCAAAGTAGCCATTATAAAAACTAAGAGTGCAACCATTGCTTTTTTCTCTTCTCCTCCTTTCTTCTTCCTCACTTTTTCTTTTTCTCCTTTCTTTTCCTTCGCTGCTTCGATTTTGGAGCTTATTGGGCGTCAAAACCCCGCCTTTTGGCCTTTTTCACTCAAATAGCGGCAAATTTCGTTACGTTCGTTATCACAAATTCGGCTAGATGTATAATTATCTTTCAGTCTTCCCTGTAAAGATGTATCAGTCAGTGATCCTCAGAATTAATACTTTATTTGTATTTTTTTCCTAGACCATACCTAATCTTCTTATCCTTGACCTCTGTGGTAATCCTACGGCTTCCGCTGGCCAAAATTACCGCTTGTTCGTTGTTTACCACTTGACGTCATTGAAAGCTCTGGACGGATTGGCTGTGGTAGGGTTATAGTAGAATCCTTGTTTACATTTTTTGCCTCATTAACATTTGCTTATCATTATCTGCTGAAGCTGATGTTATAAACTCTCAATATTGAAAGAGTAAAACAATTTCAGTTATCTCTAAAATTTTGAGCCCGACTTCTTCAATAGTTTCGGAGAAATTCTCTTTGAAAAACCCTAAACTTTACAAAGAATTCTGAATGTATGAGCTCATCAACGTTTTGCCACCCCGCATTTCGCAGTTTTGATTGCCTATATGTCCTTTGTTATTGATTGCAACTGGGGAGCTAAAACTTGCACAAACTGCTCGAATTAACCAACTCTTGCAACTTTTCAACCTAATCTGTATATACGGCGACGGCTTCTATGGGTTAACTCGTATGCTAATGACAAGACTGTAAACAATGACGTCAGTAAGGATTCGCCTATATGTTACAAAAACTTCCTTAGTTTGACTATTGGCCACATTGCTGCTGTTATTGTTTACACGTCATGTTAGTACGTGATCTTTTCATCAATCTCTGTTTTAAAGACTTTTTTTTCCTTCTATGCATCTCAGTTCCTTTCTTATTCTGTGTTTTGAAGGAAACATCAGAAGGCAGTCTTGCCAAGGATACATTTGGAGGAAGGTTTGTGACATTTCAGACAAGTGACTCAGTTTATATTGATCTCAATGAGAAGACTCTGATTCAAGCATATAGTTCGTCTTTCTACAGGCTTACTCCAGATTTCATCGCCGAGCGCCTGGGTCATGCAAACTTCTCAGAGCTAAGAGAACTTGATTTACCTCACTGTAGCCTAAGAACTGTGGATTTGGGAACCAAAGATGTGTTCATTAACTTGAGAAGGTTAGTCTCTCCACGACACCCCTCTTCCTCCCCACCCCACCCCCCTCCATCACCTTAGTCTCTAGAGACCTGAGCCCACAGTCAATCATTGCTTTTGTGTCACCGGAATATTTCTGTCACGAGTCGAGAAAACGAGGAAAGGCACTTCATCGGCCTCGTATTCAGACATATCTCCTCTTGCTCCAAAAGTGTAAAGCCCTGGGAAGTAGATTACATTATCACTGTCATGTGCTTAGTTCAGCTCAGGTCCTTGGCATTCTCTTCCTCTCGTGAACGAGCGAAAACGGGCGTGCAATATTCAAAACTACCAACGTTCCTCGCCAGAAAGAATTACCAGGTAACTAGTTACATTGGATACTTGATATAACTAACCTATATATAACGAATTTCCCTGTATAACGACCGATTTTGTTTACCCCAGTAATACGAAAATATATGGAAAAGTACCTCGATATAACGCAACCTCGTTATAGCGAACGAATTTTGCCAGTCCCTCGGTACTTTGTTATAACGAGGTTCCACTGTAACTTAGCTAGTGGTGCAGAATTTGCAATTGTTCCATATAAAGTTAACGTTACATTCTTTTTCAGTGTAAACCTGGAGCATAACTCGTTGACCTCTTTTGGCGGCCTTGTAAACCTCGTCAATCTTAAGGTAAAAGCTACCTGATATATATTTTTTTGTTTCGTCACTGTTTTAGAACAGTACCTTGCTTAGACGAAAATGAGAAGAGACCAGTTTAAAGAATGAAAATGAAAGATCTTAGACCCTACTAAATTATATGGTTTTATCTATGTCCCTCTCAGGTCCTCTGTCTNTTCTACAGGCTTACTCCAGATTTCATCGCCGAGCGCCTGGGTCATGCAAACTTCTCAGAGCTAAGAGAACTTGATTTACCTCACTGTAGCCTAAGAACTGTGGATTTGGGAACCAAAGATGTGTTCATTAACTTGAGAAGGTTAGTCTCTCCACGACACCCCTCTTCCTCCCCACCCCACCCCCCTCCATCACCTTAGTCTCTAGAGACCTGAGCCCACAGTCAATCATTGCTTTTGTGTCACCGGAATATTTCTGTCACGAGTCGAGAAAACGAGGAAAGGCACTTCATCGGCCTCGTATTCAGACATATCTCCTCTTGCTCCAAAAGTGTAAAGCCCTGGGAAGTAGATTACATTATCACTGTCATGTGCTTAGTTCAGCTCAGGTCCTTGGCATTCTCTTCCTCTCGTGAACGAGCGAAAACGGGCGTGCAATATTCAAAACTACCAACGTTCCTCGCCAGAAAGAATTACCAGGTAACTAGTTACATTGGATACTTGATATAACTAACCTATATATAACGAATTTCCCTGTATAACGACCGATTTTGTTTACCCCAGTAATACGAAAATATATGGAAAAGTACCTCGATATAACGCAACCTCGTTATAGCGAACGAATTTTGCCAGTCCCTCGGTACTTTGTTATAACGAGGTTCCACTGTAACTTAGCTAGTGGTGCAGAATTTGCAATTGTTCCATATAAAGTTAACGTTACATTCTTTTTCAGTGTAAACCTGGAGCATAACTCGTTGACCTCTTTTGGCGGCCTTGTAAACCTCGTCAATCTTAAGGTAAAAGCTACCTGATATATATTTTTTTGTTTCGTCACTGTTTTAGAACAGTACCTTGCTTAGACGAAAATGAGAAGAGACCAGTTTAAAGAATGAAAATGAAAGATCTTAGACCCTACTAAATTATATGGTTTTATCTATGTCCCTCTCAGGTCCTCTGTCTGAACCACAATCATGTCGAAAGCGTGATTGCAAAGCCGAAGGCAACGTCACCAGCGAACGCACCAAAGCGAGGCACTGACTTTTCCGTAGCATCAGAGATAACCAACCCGGAGAATTTTACTCCAGTTCTTCCTAACCTTGAAGTTCTACACCTTGGGTAATAAATACATAATACATAGATTTACCCAAATCTAAAAGCGAAGCTCCAGTTAAGAAATCTACAATTTAATTTAAACAATGTAATCATCGCAAAGAAATCCACTTAAAGTTGAGTCTGCGATCAGTTGAAACACGAAGGGTCGATACCTAAGCCCGCGATATGGTCGTGTAATACTAGTCAGCGGATACCCTGTTTTGAAGGCTGTCAATTGACGACAACATGGATGTGCAATATCAGGTTGCAGGCTCCCACACTAGCTAGAAAGTCTGAGATTTTACATTGGTTTCCGTGTGATCTGACGGACGGAAGGACGGACGGTCACGTGACTACCAAAATTTCTTGGATGGATAGATTTTCCTAGCTATGAAGCTTCGCTATTGAATGTCCTTCCTCTATCCGTAGCTTTCGAGTTGAAAGTAGAAGTTGTCTTTAAATAGTTTGACCACGGTTTTAACCAGAAGGGATCTCTAGCCGTCCTATGGACGGCCATTTTCGGAAGGAATACAAGGAAAACTCACTTAATCTCTTAAAATTTTAAGGGAAAACATGCCTTCTGGACGGCCAGTTTTCAATGTCTGAGTTAGACCCTTGACTTCCAATTAATTTTCGGTTGAATTAATCAAAATCCAGTTTATTTTAGTTATGACGGACATCCAGCAAAGATAAGTCACTCGAAAAGCGCGCGTTTTTGACTTTGTATTTGCGGTAACGTTGGGAAGGTTAACAACAAGATGTGAAAGGGGTGAACAATGTGTACGCAAATTCATTGACGGAATTAGACATCGACACCATGGAACGTCCCGTGTGTGGGTTTCGATTATATTTTCTGAGGTTAACTGAAAAATACATATTAAAATTTTTGCGGTTAATGTTTCCTTCAGACTTGTACGCTTTTTCCTTTTTACGACAGATACAACGGCATCACTGATATGGCCGCCTTGCAGCTCTCTCGTCTGACTAATTTAAGAGCTCTTTTCTTACAAGGTAGGCTAAAAACTTTTAAAAGTTAAGTGATCACCTTTTTTCTATGTTAGACCTTTCTTTTGCTGTTCATGGTTTAAAATAACCTTCGTAGATAGTTAGCCCTTCATCTTTAAACACATGTGGGAATACTGTTGGATTCTCGGAGCTTGCGGACAGTTCATCCGAGGGTCTTTCACACACCGCCATTTTAAAGCAGTGTTGAGAGGACCCTAGTTAATAAGTCACGTCACCGATAATTGTGCGGATGTGATGTGTACTTCTTCGGGATGGACGCGTCGAATCTTAGATCACAGGTCGGCTTTCACGTTCGAACTTTGGATTCCGTTCGTGTTGTTTAATGTGAATCCGTAGTCCATCCGCTACCAATGAGTGCCACGTCGCGTTATTCTTTCCTGTCTGTTTTTAGATTTCTTTTCCCGCGGAAATTTGAAGAATCGCTTTCCTCGCCAAATTCTGATGACTTTCATCCCGAGGAGAAAGCTTTTCTCCTTTCTTCTTTCTGGTTCAGGTTGAGCCACTTGTCACTGAATACGTAATGTGACTTAGAGTCACACTTTACCATCTGACATTACTGTTCTTTTCCAGAAAATCATACTCTGCTCTGATCGGCTGAGAGTTTTTTTGGCACAAAATAAGAATGTATAAATAGCCTGAATATTAAGTACGCTGTGACCCAAGCCTCATTAGAGAAATCGAGGCACTAGGTCAATAGGCTTCTATTTGAATAGAAACTTTTCCATATTATCGTTGTCTCTTGTTTGGTAAAGGCCAGTCCACCGATTTGTCTTAGTCCACTCGGCCATGTATGGTTTGAGAGGGTGGCAGTTGTGGTGGATGGGGCAGTAACCTATTAGTAGCTAACACTCGTCAATGTTTCGCTCTTCTGTAACCGAGATAAACTCTGGCGGTGTGGGCCTTCTAAGTTCAAACTGCGCCTTTGCCTTTCTTTATCTAACTTTTATATAAAGCGCAAAACTGACCGGGAGCTAATTTTTTTACAAGTCGTATTATTATTCTCTGTAGGAAATGATATCGGCAAAATAGAAGGACTTGAGGGACTACTAGAACTCCGAGAACTTGTTCTCGATCGAAATAAAATCAAGGTAATAATTTTCGAAAATAGAACATGATTTATCCTATACTATAGTATTGCCTGAAGAAGTCAAAGACTTTTCCCCAGAAAGACTATTTTCTTAACGTGTGCAAGTTTTGGGGGCAAACACTAATTGTTCAAAGCTATTTTAACAGTCAAGATATCTGCATCAATAGTGTAGTGCGATTGGAGGGAGCGTATTTTACCTCGTGTTCCATGTACAAAGGAACGTTAGACTATACCGGATAGTTTTTCGTGCCGTGTAAACAGCAACGTTCCGGGACGACACAAGTCGTTCGCGTACATCGAAAATCGTGCCGGCGCGATTGGCCGAGAGGGTTTGGTGCATTAAATTCCAGTCCTCACTCCTAAATATTTACACATCTCAGTGCGTTCTAGTCTTCGCTCATACTTATTTTCTTTTGCGGCGGACTGAATAGGTGTTCACATTGCACCAAAGTTTGGCGCAAAAACTATCCGATATATGACGCTCCACTTTCGAGATCGGCGCGGCGTAACTTCCCTCCGTTTTACAGAAATCGCGCCGAAATCACCATTCTTATGTGTAAACAGAAGCTCTCTCCGGTATGGCTTTCGTGCCGACATAAAAAGCTACCATGCATAGTATGAACGCCTGTCCAATATGTGACTCTCCTCTTTAGGGATCGGCGCGACTCAGCTTCCCGCCGTTGCAGAAATCGCGCCAAAATCACCGTTCTTCTGTGTAAACAGAAGCCCTTTCCGGTATGATTTTCGTGACGGCGCAAAAGCCATCTTGTATAGTGTGAACATAGCGTTAAGGAAAGGTCCGCCCCTGATTGAAATGTACCTATAGCGCCTGGTATTTACTTAAATTTGCCTATGGTTCCCGCAGGGTATCTCAAGCACGTCATTTATGAGTCAGTGGAATGTCACCGAGTTACACATGGAAGAAAACAGGATACGGGAATTAACTAACCTTGAGCCGCTTCAAAATCTTCAGCGGTTGTATTTGGGAATGAACCGTATTCAAGTAAGTTACCTTCAAAATTGTCACCGTTTTTATGGTGGCGTCGGGCATACATTGTCAAACAAATAAGCCTTTCTTGATGTCTCTCCTTCAAGTTGAGGCTTCTTAAAGAGTAATTTTGCCCTCGTTAGGTACAGGCTTTACGTTTCTCTCTGCAAACAATGATCTTATATATATATTTTTTAATTTTCTACCCTAGGACATAGCTGAGCTGGAAAGGCTAGAATGTTTGAGGCACCTTGTTGAACTGTCTGTTATTAATAATGCGGTGAGTTTAAAAAAAATTGTGTTTGTTAGCTTTTCCACCTTCAAAATCCCACTCTTAAGTCATCAATAAATACTTAAGTACTCACAAAGTAAATATGAAAACCGATCTCAAAGCTTTTCCACCTTTGACTTAACACCATCTTTTTCTACACTTGATTTAATCAGCTATAGTCCGTAGTTCTAGGAGACCTAACCTCTCATAAGCTTCTATAGTTTCTGTTAGGTCTCCTTGCCACTTCTTTTTTCTTTTATTTTATCTTATATTTTTTGTAATTTCTATCATTGTGTGGATAATAAATAAATAATTACTAGCCTGCGTGCTAGGCGTTAAATGGGAAAGAGGATGGGGGAATTCAGGCACGTGAGAGAGCGAGGGGGGAACGAGGAGCGTGCGGGGAGGAAACCCTCGCCCTCTCGCGCGCCCGAATTCCTCCTTCCTCTTATCCTTTCAACGCCTGTCACGTTGGCTAAATCCCGACTTAAGGATCGTACCCATGGACTGACAGGTGAATTGCAAATAGCAGAGTATAATTCGTATAATTTCAACCGTCAGAGTATAAGTGCATACCAATTGTAAATGAATAACTGCAAGGGGCCGCAGGTGAATATGCTGCAGAACGTAGGATGTAAAGAAGACCTGATCAGCAAAAATGTACAAGCTTTGTAGATTTCAATGCATATATCAGTTTTAGTTTTGAGAGCGTTAAGTTGTTGCGAAAATGTTAAGAAAGAGACTGTTTTTCTAAGTTCGATTTTTAGAAGCTCAAGTTATACGGAGACCCAGGTTATCAAAGGTTCAAGTCGAAGTGGTCAAAGGTTTAGTTAGTTGTGGGACTGAGTTATACATGTGTGAGACAAACGTAACGGCAATTGACATACGTAAACCAACCATGGTCTGGCCAGTACACACACACACATACATACATGTGTGTAAGCTATCATTATAGCGGTCATTCAACATTTGATTTCAGCTTTAAAAGTAAGTTCGTGTGGCATCAGCTTGTCAGCCTGTTAATGTGCCTCCTTAGACAACATCTTGTTCTGTTGCTGTTTAGTTACATTTGCCATATATTCCTTAGGTTACCCGTCGTCTTCTTCACCGGCCGCTACTTGTATACCGCATGCCCAATCTTCTGTGCATTGATGGGATTCCTGTCTCAGGTGACGAGAAAGCCAAAGCTGAAATGTACTTCATCGAGCAGCAGGTTAATAACAATAGTAAGAAGTTTATTGTACACTCCCCTGCGGGGCTTTTCAGTGATACAAGACAGAGCTTTATATAACTCATTATCAAGTATATATAAAAATACCCCCTCCCCCCCCCCCAAAAAAAATTTAAAATTACCTAACTTTCCGTTTAAAATTCTTATGATACAAGAGAAGGTTAAAACCTACGAAGCGCTCGCGGGATCAAGAAATTTATGTAACAATATTTGCCTCAGTTTCTGTTTAAAATCCCTATGATTCTTACTTAATTTGAGGTCTTATCTAGGCTGTTCCACAAACAGGTTGCAATTCCTGATTAATGTTTGTTTGCCCTACTCATCGATCAAACCTACTCTTTCATTATACCTTCTTTTTTACAATCTATTCTCCTCTCGCCGAGATTTCTCCCCTTCTAATTTCCCTGTTCTTATTAATGCTGACATGTGACCTCCCATGTGACTTTCCTTGGCAGGGTGGAATGCAAAATATGACGTCTGCTTTAGAACCCAGCCTCCCAGGAATAGTGACGACGCGTTCCCAGGCCCCCCTTCGGGTAGGTTGCTTAGAATGTTTCTATTGAAGACTGTCCAGCGTTTTCACTCAGTCATGATTAAATGAATTAGGGTGCACATAGGTACAGAAAATGAGAACCCCTTTAGAGCGTTGAGTGGTAAGGTTGTCCAGGTTTCGTGGCTCCACAGAAAGCTATCCCTTATAATGTGAACATAGTCTTAATAGTCCTAATCCGTCGAGCTAAACGCTTGAACGACGAAAATGGCCACGCGCGCAGTTGAAGGTGCGAAATAGGAGAGGCACCCTCGCTTCTCGCGTGACACGCGTGAAACTTAACTAACCGGCTTTTTTGAAAGAATAAGAGTCACCCTCGCTTCTCGCGTGACACGCGTGAAACTTAACTAACCGGCTTTTTTGAAAGAATAATAAGAGACTGCTGCCAGTCTACAGAGCTCAGCAAGGTGGGAACCAGCACGGTAGTGCTAAAGATATTTTGTGACTCAATGTCACAACTAAAAATCTTACACGGACCATCTCTAACTACTTGACCTTAGAAATTGTTCTTCGCATCTTTATTCCTTATTTGATGCGTTCATTCGCTTTCTTGTATCTCAGGTCACTACAGTTCAACTGAATAACAACACAGACCGTAACTGGGGAACCACTGCACTAAGAAATGATTTTCCTAATGGCACCTTACTAAGGACCTTTGAACAACAGCAAGAGAAAGGTAAAACGAGGATAAACACCAGCATTTTTGCGCAGAAATCGGTCACTGTTCTAGATTACGTTGTGATGTAAGCGGCCCTGTCAAGGGTGTTAGGGGGAATCCATGAAGGATAGCAGAAAAATCCAGCAAGGATGATCAGGTCAGTCGTTCAGTGCAAAAGAGCGAAAAACGGCGGAAGAGAGAAGGGAAGAGAAAGGATCTTTTCAAGTACATTCAATTGATCAATTTAGGTTTATGGGAAACTACCCACCTACCCCTCCCCTAACCCAACATTATCACTTACTTCTCACTTAGGGCAAAATGTTGGGCTAGGGGAGGGGTGGATGGTCAGTTCCCAAGAAACCTAAATGGATCCCATTCAATCGGCCCACTACTCCGACCACTTCGTGAAAAACTGTTTCTCGAGTCAAAATTTTAAATGTCAAAGTGTCAAAATGTGCGGTGTAGGAGGCTTTCACCTGCTCGACATGTTTGTTAGACTCTGCGCGCGCGAAGCAAAACGATTGACGTAAGTCATACGTCACATTTTTTACACATTTCACCCCACACTTTCTTTGCATATATAAAGCGCGCGCGGAATATTTTCTCATCCCTGATGATGCCGTTGATTGACGAAAGCCTGGATTTTAGATTTTCCTTTTTAAACAGCAGTTTAAGGCCTCACTAGAGCAGTTTTATACTATGCTGCCGAAGGACAGCATGAGCAGATTATTGATGTAAGTGTTGAAGTAAACTGTTGCCATTGGCTAATCATAGGGTATACTGGAATGAGCCATTGAAAACAATGCTTACAGGTTCGAATACATTGTCTCTCCCCAGCCCCCTTGCAGTTTTCGCGCAACTTTTCTCGATCCGCTTTCTTCACTATGTTGGATTCTGGAACAGGCTGGGAAGCACTAAAATTCACTCCCCAGGCACGGTCTCCGAATATGTATTGCCCGGTAGTAGTTTGGAAGCCATGGCCAGCTGTTTAGCCTTCACTTAGGCCCACCAGTGTGGTATTGCCTCCAGGTACCCTTCGCTGTCCTTTACAAGGGTTTATCCTTTGGACGCTCATATCCGCATATCACATGTCTCAGTGGCCTCCATCGCCTCCCCCTTTCTCTCTCAGTAGGGAGTTTTAGCAACGACGACGGTGACGGCAACGAGAACGTCAAAACAGCAATAGGCTTATCAAGCAAAACAACATTTTTGCACGTGCATCACGTTTTTTTGTACATTTCTTTGCCGTTACTGCACGACTAGGACGTGAAAATGCCTAATTTCACGTTTTATGGAGGACGTAAACAACGAAATTTTCTTTCTCTTTCTAAACTTTAGTGCGGTCCCCAAGAAATCAACTCTCGGGAAGAGAAGAGAGACATTGTCAGCGAATTGGAATAAACGAGACAAAGTTTGAAAAAAAGCTAATTCATTTTAAAAGTGACATTTTCGCTGCCGTCGCCGTCGCCGTGGTCGATGCTAAAACTCCCTAGTGTGAGGGTGAAGACGGACCTTTTGTGGGGTAAAGTGAAGTTCCTAGTTCAGTTAATACAGTTCATAATCTCGGATCCTTTCTTTAACTACAAATGCTCTTTATTCGACATTGATTTTCACAGCCCGCCGTCGCGTCGCTAACACGCGCGGAGCCTCGAGCCACTCGCTACAAACCCTGTCTACTTCTGACTCAACGCACAGTCTCTCAAATGACAGATACGGACGCACTTCCGGTAGCCTCAACCCGCAGCAGTCACTTAGCAGGCAGCCCCAGGCCTCTTCGTCTGTTCCGTACATAGCTCACGGAAATTACTCGTCTTACAGCGTGAATGGCGACCTCACGGATTCAAACAGGTAAAATTTCAAGGTTGGNTGTTGGGCTAGGGGAGGGGTGGATGGTCAGTTCCCAAGAAACCTAAATGGATCCCATTCAATCGGCCCACTACTCCGACCACTTCGTGAAAAACTGTTTCTCGAGTCAAAATTTTAAATGTCAAAGTGTCAAAATGTGCGGTGTAGGAGGCTTTCACCTGCTCGACATGTTTGTTAGACTCTGCGCGCGCGAAGCAAAACGATTGACGTAAGTCATACGTCACATTTTTTACACATTTCACCCCACACTTTCTTTGCATATATAAAGCGCGCGCGGAATATTTTCTCATCCCTGATGATGCCGTTGATTGACGAAAGCCTGGATTTTAGATTTTCCTTTTTAAACAGCAGTTTAAGGCCTCACTAGAGCAGTTTTATACTATGCTGCCGAAGGACAGCATGAGCAGATTATTGATGTAAGTGTTGAAGTAAACTGTTGCCATTGGCTAATCATAGGGTATACTGGAATGAGCCATTGAAAACAATGCTTACAGGTTCGAATACATTGTCTCTCCCCAGCCCCCTTGCAGTTTTCGCGCAACTTTTCTCGATCCGCTTTCTTCACTATGTTGGATTCTGGAACAGGCTGGGAAGCACTAAAATTCACTCCCCAGGCACGGTCTCCGAATATGTATTGCCCGGTAGTAGTTTGGAAGCCATGGCCAGCTGTTTAGCCTTCACTTAGGCCCACCAGTGTGGTATTGCCTCCAGGTACCCTTCGCTGTCCTTTACAAGGGTTTATCCTTTGGACGCTCATATCCGCATATCACATGTCTCAGTGGCCTCCATCGCCTCCCCCTTTCTCTCTCAGTAGGGAGTTTTAGCAACGACGACGGTGACGGCAACGAGAACGTCAAAACAGCAATAGGCTTATCAAGCAAAACAACATTTTTGCACGTGCATCACGTTTTTTTGTACATTTCTTTGCCGTTACTGCACGACTAGGACGTGAAAATGCCTAATTTCACGTTTTATGGAGGACGTAAACAACGAAATTTTCTTTCTCTTTCTAAACTTTAGTGCGGTCCCCAAGAAATCAACTCTCGGGAAGAGAAGAGAGACATTGTCAGCGAATTGGAATAAACGAGACAAAGTTTGAAAAAAAGCTAATTCATTTTAAAAGTGACATTTTCGCTGCCGTCGCCGTCGCCGTGGTCGATGCTAAAACTCCCTAGTGTGAGGGTGAAGACGGACCTTTTGTGGGGTAAAGTGAAGTTCCTAGTTCAGTTAATACAGTTCATAATCTCGGATCCTTTCTTTAACTACAAATGCTCTTTATTCGACATTGATTTTCACAGCCCGCCGTCGCGTCGCTAACACGCGCGGAGCCTCGAGCCACTCGCTACAAACCCTGTCTACTTCTGACTCAACGCACAGTCTCTCAAATGACAGATACGGACGCACTTCCGGTAGCCTCAACCCGCAGCAGTCACTTAGCAGGCAGCCCCAGGCCTCTTCGTCTGTTCCGTACATAGCTCACGGAAATTACTCGTCTTACAGCGTGAATGGCGACCTCACGGATTCAAACAGGTAAAATTTCAAGGTTGGGTCGGATCAGTTCGCAAACGTTTTGGGAGACTTAAAATATAGGCAATAACCGTAAATGCAACATTTTTCCTCGCGGTTTGAGATATTTTAGGGTCTAAATTGCGGTATTTGCAAGATGGCTCTTGAGAATTGTAACGACCTTACGAAGTTGCTCCCCCTAGAAGTGGGTACTCAACAACTTTATATACGGGGAGGTCCCGCCCCGAGGTCCAACCCCTCACCCTTTTTATGTACCACCTTTGACAGAAAAGGTACCCTTTTCTTTTCGCTGTCCTTAAAAAATGAATTAATCACAAACCTAGAACGTTTCCCCGCCTTTTTCATTGCCATAAAATGCCATCTCTTAGCCCTGTACAGCCTTTTTTCAGATTGAATTGACAGATTTCCTTACCCTTCCATATAGTTTAACGGGCGAAATCCCTCGTCCCCTTTCATATACCTGAAGGGTTAAAAAGGTACTCCTTTCGGGCAGAGCCTTCCCGCATAGGCCATTATAGGGAGTACCCCCGGGGTTTGCTCTAAAGGTGGAATCTCCATGATGTTTCCGATTGCGGCCCACACATATGTCTGTCTTTGATATCATTAAATTTTGTTGCCTTATTTTGGCTTCCCAAGTCAATAGGAATCCGATTGTCTCTCTTTTGTTATTTTAAATACAATGTACCGTAGAGGGTCTTGAATTTGCCTCCAACCTGGCTTTGGTGTCTATAACCCGGTATACTGTTTTCGCATTGCTTCAGTTTGTCACGTGGGGAATAGGCCCTTTGCAGCTAGTAATTCACGTGGTACAAAACCGCCAAGCAAGAGACGCTTTGGGAGAACACAAACAAAAGGCTCATATATCATTTAAAACTATAATTCCCTTTGTTTATTTTCATTCTTGTGCCAGTACGCCTCCAGTATGGTGGTTTTCTACCACGTCAATGATTTGCTGCCAAGCACTGGCAAAGGGCTTATTTTATAGGCGTAAAAGGCTCGTACTAGATTAAATGAGGGTAAACGCAGTCCAAAAAGGCCACTTGAAAGTTCAAAAATCTCTTACTTTAAAAACAAGGGTAAGGGCAAAACCTTTCTTTTGAAAATGAGTTTTATTTATTTTATGATAATAAAAAATTCATTTTCTTTCCAATGGCTTCGCACTTAGCCTCGTTTTGAAACAGAGGCTTGGGGCAACTCGGCCAATACTTAACCTTGTATTAACATAGTTTTCTTTTCTTTTTTTTTTGGCAGGGGCAAAAATAGTCGATGCAAATAGTCAGGGATTTATTATGTCCGTCGGTAGTCTTGAACCAAAGCCCAGCCTGGAGCCAAAAAAAATGTAAGAAACATCATCCGAGGGAAATAGGACGTGGCCTTCTGCAGGATACATCGTTACGGTAACGTTTCGGAAACCATCACCATCAGCGTTTACCCCACATGATGGATGAAAGTAAAAGTCAGGAACACAGGGCGAAAACAGCCTGTTGCTAAACTCTCAGGAAGCAATGGAAGGGGGAAGGGGTAAGGGGAAAAATCTTGTTCCTCTTCCTCTCCCCCTACTATTGGATTTTTCGCCTTGTAAGGGAAGATATAGAGACTGATACGTTTCTCTTAATGGGCACCTCTACAACAATGTCGCCTACTGTTGTTTCTAGCCGTTATCTCTAATAGCGATGGACATAAAGAGACAGAATTCTCAAAAGAGACACGCCGATCCTTGGCACGCTTTCCACGTATGTATGTGCTGTAGTGCTCAATTTTAGTATCTTAAGTCGAATTCGTCTGCTGCGACCGTTAAAATGAAACTTCCTCAGCAGTACTTTGTCTCTGTATGTTACAGTTGACGACGTATTTTAACGTCGTTGCGCGGCATGTTGACGCCCTAAGCGTGCGACCTTTTTCCAGGCTAATTCTGTGTGGCTAACAATTTGTAGCCGCGGATTGGGGAAATGTACCTGCGCGCCTCTCTCGAAGACTGGACCCAGAAAGAATGACGGAAATCAATCCTGTTACTCTGCGACTTTGTGAGTTGTCTAGCCAGTTTCAACAACTTACAGTGTGCTGCCACAGTCGTCAGTGGCTTAACTGCAGAATACTTACCCGCATAGCCACTCAGCCACCTAGCCACGTATATGCCTCGTTCTGTGTATCAACGTAGCCACGTTTTTTTTTTTTTTTCGGGGGGGGGGGGAGCGGTCCAGCTTTTGAGTAGTCGGCTATTCTGCAGCAACTCCTCATTCGCAAACTACTTCAGCGTTGACTACCATGTAGCCAAACTAATATAACCTTTTTGGCAAGTAACCTAGAGGGGTGTATATACGTACAGATAAGCAGCTAGTAAACATTTGTCTCATTCTACCGCACGCGCTTACTTCTCACTTCTGTTACGCTTGCATTGCAGGCGTTTTGTTAGAATGCGCGAATGTAATTTGCTGTTGAATAAGCCATTACCGAGTTCCAAAAACTCTCACTTTCGAAACGAGGCTAAGTGCAAAACCTTTCTTGTGAGATTTTTTTGCGACTATCCCTACTCTCAGTTACGTCATAACTGCGCTAGCCATTATTTGCAGGAATGGTTCTGTGCCTCTCGAAAGAACACCGCTGACCGCGCCGACAGCTTAACTTCCTCACTTTCTCTTACCGCCATTGACCCTCGTTACCTTATATACACCTTCGTTCTCCTTCATACTCCTTGATTCGCCTCTATTCTACTTTTAATTATTTTACTTCGTTCCCCTTCTTCTACTTCATTTACCCCTATCAGTTTTCATTCACCTTGTGAGCTTTTCATTCAACAAAATTTCCCGTTTGAGACTTCGGAAATTATACGTGCCAAAAGAGAACGGTACATTCCGGTTGCACAGACCTAACCCCAGCCACCGCGCGTTTCCTTATTGTTCTTGCAAGCAGGACACAAAGGAGCCGCACTGAGGACAACAATTTGTCAAATGGAAAGGGACATTTCAGTCCAACCAACCGAAATGACCGGACCTTTCAAAGTAGACCGACCACCTTCAAAGATAGTCCCAAATATTTTGGTCGGACCGAACCGAAATGGTCCGTTCCATTTGATTTCCAACCGAAATTTCCGGAATTTTGGGCTAAATTGAAAGCGCCCCTTATCTACCCCCATTAGCTAGCCTTCATCCACTTTCACCCTTCATGTACCTCCATTAGCCTTCATTTACTTTCATCCGTCTTCTTCTGCCTCCGTTAGCCTTGATTTACCTGCTCCCCCCTTTATTCTCGCCCATTAGCCTTCGTTTATCTTCATCCTCCTTCGTCTACCTCCATTAGCCCTTTTTCACCTTCGTCCCAGCCTTGTGTTCAATCCTTCATTCACCTTCATCCCCGGAAGTGGATTGGTTAGCGGCTAGCTTCAAAACAGCCCGGAGCCATTCCTGCTTTTATGCCATTACAAGCACTTCTCGCTTGCCCAAAAATACACGTGCTTGCTCA